ACTCCTTTACACGATTTACACGATACATTGTCGTTTACTACATCATTATTATAAATCTCGAGTTACTTGAGCATATGTTTATGAACATATGAATATATGTTTCAAATATAAAGTAACATGCAAAGCGACTTTTTTAATGAATATGGAATCTGTCGTCAATAAAGCTGGTCAATTCGTAAAAATTCTATGCCATAGTTTCCATGCAACTTCCCGGGCTGATATTCTAGAAAAAGCAGTGGCGTATACAACTTTTCATCGCAGGGCGGTGAACCGTTGGCATTATATAATAATACTTCGGTTTTAGGTCAAAGCTCTAGGTGATTCTTTTACACTCCTAGATATAATTTAGCGAGCAACAACATAAATATTGAATTTTAAAATAAGGTTCAATGAGGCCGATATTATCAACAATGAATCAATAGAATATGTTTTACGTTAACCCAGAAATGAACAGGAGTAAAGAATTTTTAATGGAACTCTGTATATGATGAAACATAAGATTTTATTTTCGACGATAGAACTATGACGTCAATTATGAAACTATTGTGGAACAATTCCATGAAGTAAGAAACCAAGATTTCGTCGGGTGTAAATTCCAAATTTTTCACACAACTTTTTTCGAAAATCTTAATCTTTCTAGGTAAACCTTTCGCGTTAAAATTGCTAATAAAATAACAAGGTTAGGACCAACAGAAACCATTACATGCAAACAATATTATTTCAGAAACTCAGTAGCCACATCTTTTACATTCAAATATAGATTTTATTACCAGGCATTTTTCAATGCAAGCCTTTGAGTGTTCAAAAGATATTAATTGCCTACGTCTGTGTTCCACATTAATCTCGCTATTTTTCATTTTATTTCGCAGTTCTTTGACCCTCAAAGCCCAAATATTCATCCTAATTGAATTAATGCCAAGTCGAAGCAGATGCAAAACACTTTTTATAATAGGCTCATTAAAATACAGGGTACTTTTGTTTTGGGTACCTATAAATGACAGTTTACAAAATCTCAACAACCGCTTTCTGAAGCGTTTTCATACTGACTTATCGTTGATATTATAGATCTGTTCATCATCAAAAAAACTTTTGAAGAGAGCAAATGACGAGTACAAATCATAAATTTGAACCTTGAATTGAGAATGGCTCTTTCTAACGTTTCGCATACTGGAAAATTTGAATTACCAGATATTGAAGTTGTAAAATAATTAATGACGAATTTTATGAAATTGCCCCACAATTGTAACGAAAGCTCTGCCCTATTGGCGACCATCGAAAATAAAAGAAATTTTTCTTTAAAAGGATGCACAAATTAATGAAGCATGTGTATTGTTTTCTCGACCCAACTGTACAGTTTTCTTTTCGAAAGAAATAATCAATTTATCTATGTCTAATACAAAAACAAAGTGAATGTAACTCTTCTTTTGTGTTACAGATTATCGCAAATATTGAACTGAAGAGCATTACAATTATACATTTTCTGTATAATCTTAGGGACTGATCTTGTCAAATGAATGTAATACCGACGCTAACCTCAACTACCTGAATGGGCAAAAACGTTTCAGGTCAGTTTCTGGGGTGGTAATACTCACATTGTGTACGAAACTACACAGATAATACCCCGCAACAAAGGGAAGAAGATAAAACAGAGGCAATATAACATAGTTTGGCTGAGATTGCAGCAACGTAAATTTTAATCTATTTGATCAGGGAGCTCTGGGATTACTGTGAATTACATCGAATGAAGAAGTGATTAACTTCATCATAATTGAATTGAACTATTTCTATATTTTGTTCAATTTAAGTTACTAATAATGACACTATTTAACACCTATAGTAACATAATCCGTAATGAAACTGAGTTGAATAGACATTTTTGTGTTTCATTTGTGGTTCAAAGAAGTCAATTCCTTGTTCTAGTTTGAACCTTCGCCATGAAACTTTATTGGGAATATATTAGGGTAGAGGCTGGAAATTGATGATGGAATTTAAGCGTTTCATGTTTTTGACAATGACAAATACGTCGCGTTGATGATTTCAACCCCTGAATCCAAATGGCTGACGCCCCTTCGCCAAATATTCCGTCGGTGCATTCATTATATTTAGAATAATCATGATGGAATACTGAATACATAAATGCAGATTGACAAAGTCTTTTGTCAGTGACAGAGTTGGATAAATAATTAGAAGCGAGCAAAAGTAAACAACTGTATTGCCATTAATGAGAGCACAAAAAATGGTTTAATAGGATTATAAATCCAAGTTTACATACAAATGCTATTTTCGATAAGGATAGAAAAACTACAAAAAGTATACAGCTTCAGGAAATATTCATTATGTACTGATCTTCAAGACTGGGGAGTATATGAATTTATTAGTCCATCCTGATGCCTAGGAAATGGCGTACCTGTCCCATGTAGAGGTCGTTACAATTCTTATTCATTTAGGAACTAAGTTTGCTTCATTTTTGTATAGTACAAGGAAAATAAATGGTTACAGTGAACTTGAAGCCGATGTATGAGAAAAATGTGATGTTTTTAGTACTACAATAAATCTTAGACTGCAGGTATCTAAAGATGATTTTGCAAATGATGAGTGGTAGAATTGCAGAACTTTTTTAATATTCAATCAGTTTCACACAATGCTCCTCAAAATTGACATTCTTCATTATTAAAAAGTTCCTTTAGAGCATCTTAATTTTAACCACCAAACGTATTAATCTGATCTATTTAAAAAAATCTGACGTATCAATCTGATCCCTCTCGATAAATCTGTTCGAATGCTGGATTTCTCTAAACACAAAATCCGATAACGCAAAAAGACAAATACCATTTCCATCCACCCGTCACCTCCGAGATCATTTTTCAACTTTTTTTTTAAACATCGGACAAATCAAAACGATCAAAACCGAGATGAATAATTTTTCGACCAATGGTCAAAACCAAACCAGATCCATTTATATGCGCATGCCCAACAAATCATCTCGTCAATTATGCGCAAGTCTAGTTTTGGCCTTTCGACACCTACATCGCAAATTCAAAATGCGAAAAACGCAAGGATCATTTAATAATGCAGGATTTAATAGCGATCATAACGTATTGTCATGGTTTAGATATGATGGGGCGAAGTTTCTTGGTCTGGAGTTCTAAAATTTTGACAAAATTGAAGCAAATATGGGTTAGAATGAATCTAAAGTATCTACCTACAGTCTCTTGACCAAGATTACCGGTCAACATGAAATTCATTTTCCTTTCCTCATTGCTTTCTTCATCAATAATATATGTCCAAAAAATGAACCCGCAAATTGAGAACACCAATTTCAATAAAAATGTTGTAGAAAAGGCAAAAATCTTTTTTTCTTTCCTTTCCTCTCACATAGTCATAGATTGTACTTTCTGAAACAGGTTCAGTTTGAAGTGTTTCAGAACTACTATCTTTTGCCATTATTTCGGTGAACTGAACAACATTGCACTATTTATTTATAATAACTATGAAGGTTTGTCACTATTTGCATGATAGTTATTCAAAAATTATACTTTTTTTCAGGATTGTTTCCATTCTGTGAAAAAAGGTGATCTAGTCTAAAAAAGTGAGATACATTATTGCCAAAAATAGTTGCAAAAAAGTTTTTCTGGGGTAATTACAATGAACTTTCATTGATAGAGACATTATGACGGATTCACTACAATTATTTTTGATGTTTAGAGGAAGATGGCACCGAGCTAGGATAAACTCGTTATTGGTTATGAATACAAGTGTGCATAAAACATGGTCTTCCCTTCTGGAAAAATTTTTTATTCAAACATTTTTCATCAAGTATATTTTGTAAGCACTACGTATATAAGGTGCCAATCGATATTGAATTATCTTATCACCAAACTGCTAATTCTTTCTGAATATCTATTGTCCTTTTTCATAAAGAAATAAATAAAAAATTTTAATTTGCCAAGAATTCAAATTTATTTTGGAGTATCTACTTTGGTTAGTATCATTAAATATCTTTGATTGTTTTACTAAATCATAGAATATTTGAATGCTGAGTATGCAATATAAAATGAATATAAATAATTCGATAGGTAATTATGATTTAAAATCGACCATCGGTATCATCTGTATTTTTCTATTGAGTCTTTATTTGTGGAGGGATTTTTCGGTGGAATTTTACAGTTTATGTTTCTGAAGCCTTTTTTAACGAATGATTGATTCAGAATCTAAAATTTTTGTGTTGAATTATTTTGATGAAAACAGTGATTTTCATTTAGAAGGTAGGTACTCAGTTCAGCTGTAATGTTGCACAATTTTTCAAGATTAATCTCTCAAGTAATTTAAGAGAAATGTTTTACTTTCCCTGTTTTTCAAAAAGACAAACAAAATTGTTGCCTGATGGTCAAAAAATCAAAAAATAATAATTTTCATTTAAAATATTTTCCAAATCGATTTTTCCTGATTCTTTTGAAGAAAAATATGTTTTGTTTTAAAGCCAGTTTAAATGTAAGCTTTTAAAATCTCACGGTTTTAATATTTCACACTTTCAACAAATTTCGATCTTGAATAGACTTTCTTTTCACATCTTTTTTAGAATTAGGCTATGGAGTCATAAAAGAGAAGTTTTGAAGAGAAGTGTCAAGTTATTTATTCTGTTTTACTTTATTGATTCATCATTTCCAGGATATTTCTATGATAATTATGTTGTATAGTGACAAGCTTTATTGATTAGCTAGTAAAAAAAATTGTTCTTTATGTCGTGACAACAAAATTGAAATTGATAGATTTTGCTTGCTCCTTTGGAATCTATGCTACTCTATACTGTCGCCCAAGAAAATTTTAAAACACGCTGCTCTTCTTCAACCCAAAATACATTCGTGCGCATTTCTGGAGCGCTCAAAACACCGAGATGCGGTTCCAAAACATGTGACGCACGTGCAGCGACTACAAAAAACCCGGAGCGTGTGAGATCTCTTGCTATATCTTCCAACAATGATAATAGTAATAAAACTCACCCTTTCCTCCTCCCGAATCATCTCAGCAATGCCAGGCTTGATCTCCATGTCGTCAGATGTGCCGTGCGACCCTTGCGCCTGTGGCGCGAGCGGCAACGTCAGCTGCAGGGGTTCGGCCGTCGCTGGCGTCGGCGGCAACGGCGTCGCGGAAGGCGCCGGAGACATCTCGACCGACGGCGGAGGCTCCGGAATCTCGGTGCTCGCACTTTCGGCGGGGCTGCTCAGGCTGCTCCTCTCTGCGGAAGGTCTGCGTCTCTTCTTCGCCCTCGAGGCGTCCGGCTCCACGTCCTGCGGCGGCCTGTTTTCCCACGTCGGTGTCGGTTTCACAGAGGATGGCCTGGTGGTGAGTTCGCCGGCCTGGGTGGCGACGTCCTGCTCTCCGTGGACGTCTGCCAGGCCGCGGATCTTGAGCGACTCGGCCACCTTCAGTAGCGGCCCGATCTGCTCCTGGGAGACGTTGATCTCCCCCTTGTACATGAACTCCACGACGGCCTTCAGCTCAGGCCACTTGATGTCGCGCATTATCACGATGGGGTGCTGGCAGGGGTTCTCGAAGAACAGCGACTGGAAGTAGGGGCTGCAGGCGGAGAGCACCATCTTGTGCGCCTTGACGGAGTGCCCGTCGCAGGCGAGGGTAACGTCCACGAAGGACTCACTCTGCAGGAGCTGGTCGAAGACGTTAGTCAAGTTGGACTGGTAATTGTTCCAGCGCAGGCAGAACTGCTGCGGGGAGGCCGTGGTGTGCTGCATCGTCACCTGGAAAAGTCAAAGCACAGTTCACGAAAAACACTAGCACATGGCAGTCCTGAGAGCACGTGTGCGGCTACGAATCGGTCGAACGGTTCGGCTACGGTAGCGATTCTCGCGCTGCTACTGTAGCGGCGAAACTGACTGACCGAGAATCGTCGGCCGTCAGCAGGAGGATCGGGCCGCCTCTCGCGCGCACGCCTTACCCCCACTGCCGGCGGAGACCGCCCTCACCCCACCCATCCACCCACAAGACCGCGTGGCCACCGTGACTGCCGCGGCCGACTAATTACACCCGATACATCGACACCTGAACCAGGACGAAAGCTCGTTACTTTTACTTAGGACTTGGCGATATTTTGGGCAAGACATGGATATACTGGGTGGTTTTACTGGGCTGATTAGGAGAGTGGTGAAGGGGCTAGTTTAGATCTCACGCTCGATCAGGAGAAAGATTTAGTAGAATCAAGGAGTATTTTCCTCAGAAGGCTTTTGAAGCGGGGACATAATAATTTTCATTTTTTGAAAGCGTGCATTTACATAAAGAATCCAGTTGACCGTGACTTTTTTTCAAAAAATTATTCGTATATTATTTAATATAACGACAGTACACTAAATATTCTCATTATAACTATGGCACTATCGTTAAAGTTGGTTTTGTTGCATATAATGGCAATGAAAATATAGCGTCTCAGATAAATCGTAGATATATTAGTTATACTCCAAACGAAGAATATGTGCCTTGGAATATAACCAAGAAAAGTTTTTGTTATTTACCAGTCAAAAATAATGCCTCGCAGCGAATTTACTCGCCAAAAACCACGTCGATGAATTATCAACAAATCGTTCATGAATTACTACATCGGCATGTCTTATTCTTTAAATATATGGTGAAGGTGTAACTCATCTTTATACAGTGGAGTCCCGATAGTCCGAAACGATCGGGACCGGACCCATTTCGGATTAACGAATATTTCGGATTAAGCGAAATCATGACCAAAATTAATGTTTGTATAATGAAATACAATGTATATTTATACAAAATGGGATATACAGACAGAAAAATGTAACAGACTTTTTTAAACCAATATAGTTTTGAACTACATACGCTCAAATTGTTCTGTTTTGTTAATTACACTTATCTTTGTACATACTGTAATCCTTAGTATGTATATATTGCAATACATTTCTTCTACTTTTCTTTCGGATCAAGCGGACTTTCGGATTACCGAAGTTCGGATTATCGGGACTCCACTGTATCTACGTTTTCTCTCCGAAGCTTCAGTTCCATCACTATTATATTTATCAAAAACAACTTCAACATTATTTTGAAGAAAAAGCAGTTTTTGCAGAACTACACAAATGATCTTTCCACTTCAAGCTTAATTGTTTTCAAAATATAATCACCAGTGAAACGTACAGTATTTTCATCATAACTCGCTCAGTTTTGGCGCTAGACACTTTCATACATGATACGAATGAAGATTTTTTTCAAGCAAGTTTCCAGAGAAAAATATACATTGCTTTTTGGTTACTCCACGGTGAAACTTTCAGGTTCGGGGTCAACTTTGCAGTAGAGGGTGAGTAAAACCCAAATCCCAATTTTTGTTGAATTATTGGTGAATGTGCTAATGAAATCACCAGAAAAGCTTTTGGAACAGAATTTTATAAATTGGCGAAGGACGTGGTTATACAAAGTCGCTCATTTCGTGATGTTTTGGTTTGTTATCGTTATCTCTGGCATGAAAAATAATGGAAGGTATGGTGGAAAAAAGGATAACATGTACAGAAGAAAATGTATTCGGGAAAGAAAGTTTTTGGCTTTCTACTACTCCATCTGGTACAAAAAAAATGGATGAGAGTCTTCCAAAGAAAGGAAGGAAGTAATCAATTTGAAAATAAGTAACTCTATACATGGATGTGTAGATCATGCGAAGAATTAACCTTCAGACACAAACTGAAAGAAAGTCCTCCTGAAACAGCTACTTTCTTTGGAAGATTCTCTCATCCATTTTTTTTGTATAGGATGGAGTAGTAGAAAGCCAAAAACTTTCTTTCCCAAAAATTAATCACTCCTAAAAATATAACCCTTTCAAATCAAAATGTATTCATTACTATAACATCGAATATATTTTATTTCGATTGTTTCACAACAATAACTAGGTTAGAATTCATTCTATCCAAAAACAGAGCGAAACGCAATTAAAATTCAGCTACTAAACTCAACTCAAAAGTTAAAAACAATGAAGATCGCTGGAGTTCGTTTTGTATATTTGATAGTTTTGTAATTATTGTAAAAAGAAATGAAAATTATATCTTAAATTTCTTAATTATTTAATGGATATTGACAAGAACTCTAATATACGTATTTTGAAAATTACCTCAAGCACCATACAAAATAGCGTAGAGCCTAATTTGTTTATTTTCGTAAGATCCATAGAAATGTTGGAAATTTCTTATTGAATATACCTTGAAAACAATTCAAAATATCGAAAATGTTACATGAAAACGGCAGTTAGTCCAATTGGAGATGAAATTATGTATATTGCATTTTCATCGAAATGACTTGAAGTATCGAAATTCGTTAAATTCTGAATAGAATATAACTTTTTTTTGTAATCCTTCCATACGTGCATCCTTTAAATGTCCCGTTTAACAAAGTATACAACTTGAAAAACACTTTTTCTCTACTAATATTTTGTAATGTGTATATGTTAGTACGTCTACTTTGCTTATTAACTGGGATATAGATTTTTCCAAGTAGTCCTATTGATTTATAATATTCACATGTCAGATGTTCAATATTGTTGTTGATTACACTATTCCACATCTTCGACCACCTTGATCACCTGATTTAATTCCCGCAGATTTCTTTCTTTTGACAACTTAACGAACACAGATCACAAGGAACCTTAAACTACCAATCGAACGAGTTATAGTTCAATTAGTGGCCGTAAAAAAGCTATAAACAATAAAATTTTGAGAAAAAAGGTGAATGTTCGACATATAATGTGACAGAAATTGAACGAATTTTCAATTACTATAAATTGCGACTTGTCCCGGCTAAATTTGTATGTGTCAGTTTGTAAATATTCATAATGACCTTTGATAGAATTTACAACTAGCAATTTCGGTTCATTAAGTACCTTCCTTTTGATCTGTTTTATTTTATTGTACTCTGTACCTTTTAACTACTCTATAACTTTGTACTAATTTTGTTCACTTTTAACCTGCTTTCGTCTGACTTTCTACAAACAAATTTTTTAACGTAGTAAACAACAGGTCACCTGGGAATGCCCTCAAGATGGGGTATTGCCCCCACCCCATTCAGTAGTCACTTCTGATGGATAGTCTGCTTGATGGATGTCATTGACAGAAAATGTAGATCTGCAAGTTTATACAGATAATCTTATCTGACAAAGATCTGAGGGAGTGTAACCTGTAATATCTTCCAAAGAACGCTGGAAGTTGTTGACAGTGGGTCCAGATAGAGTATATGTCTGTAAACCCTGGCAAAACTTTGATAGTTCCCTTCGCCAGGAAGATCTACTTTCCCTCAGTGATAAAGTTACCAAAACAAAGGCGAAATATTCAGGTATTCAACTTAATAAAACACTCACATGGATCGCTCACTTGGAAAAAGTTTTACACACGTCCAGACTGTCCCTATGAACATTGTGAAGAATTTGTGCGAAATTTCAGGTCTTTGGCACCGATCCAAGAGCACCACACCAACCGTGGCCATGGAAATTCTTCTAGACATACCCCCTCTCCACATCTTCATGGTAAGAAAGGCTAGACGCACTGCATACAGAATTGTACATATTACTTAAGTTAAGTTAGATTAGAATATCCTGGTATCGCTTGCTGACAAAGGAAATGCCACCGTCGTGATAAACACCAAGAAATATAATGAGAAAATTGTCGCCTTACTCGATCCAGGGACATATAAAAGACTCAGTCGGGACCCGATCTCCGGGATTTTCAGAAAAACGAATCTTCTTATTCGTTCAACAAGACATGGAGAGGACACGTCTATATGGTTCACCAACTCATGAACCATTCCGATGGTTCCAATCAAAGATATACGATACGGGTAATTAGCGAAGTATTCCCAGAAACTACAACCGTCTTCGCTCACAGTTTATCATCAACTTATTTCCAGTGGGATGGTGCTTTTTACAAACAAACGGATGGGATCGTGATAGACAGTTCATTAAGTCCGGAGGTGGCAAACTTTTTCATGGAAAATTTTGAAGAACGTGCCTTAGAGCAAGCGGTCGTGAAATCATATTGTTGGCTACGTTATGCTATATTGTGAATCACACTAAAAAAAATTCAATTATATATAAACTCTCCCGGCCCAAAAAAATCCAATTCACAATAGAACGAGAAACTCAAGGGACTGTAGCCCTCTTGGATGTTCTTGTGAACAGACATGGGCCATGGAGTGTACAGCAAATCATCACACAGACAGGTATCTGAACAAAAACTCTAACCACCAGCAACAACAAAAGAGAGGAGTAATTGAAACGTTGGTTGAGGTACCTGTGAACCTGAGGGTCTTCCTGAGGAACCCAATCACCTGAAAATGCCTTCAATGGGAATGGGTACAGCGAAGGAGAATTCTAGCGGGTCATACGACCCAGAAGAGAAAACGCCAAAGTAACCCCAGCTAGGCTAGTCAAAGGAAAATCTTTCCTTTTCTATGTTAAAAATGTTACTGACCGGATTTGGAGAATCTTAGAGAAGCACGACGTGAAACCAACATTTATGCCAACAAAAACGACCAGACAAAGTCTAAGGTCAGCTAAGGATCCCAGAGAACCTTTAGCAACACTCTGGGTGTAACGGATTCTTTGTAGATGCGGGTCGGTCTACATTCGAACCTGTCTCTTTGAACGGAAAAACAGATTTTAAAACATATTTAAAACAGATAGGCAATAGAAATTCAAAAACACAGGGATATTTTCAATGGAAAAAAAGAGGCAATTAACATTAATAAAATC